TTCTCAACGAGAGATATTACTCTCAAACATACTCAAGATCTTGACAAGCTAAGTATATACCTTGGTGAGGTAAGTCAACTCATCCAAAATCGAAATTTGAAGACTCGGATAAACAAATATGCAAAAAGACTTTGTTCAAATACTGTCTTTGAATCCGAAGACAATGCGAGTGATAGTTCTTACACGCTAGATGATAGCCCTTCTCTCAATGTATAGCCTGCTTGTATAGCCGGTTGTAATGCAAAACTTTGACGCTGATCATAACTCGTTAAATTGCTTAACATTATTTTTAACATGTGCGTGCAAGGATGAAATTGTGTACTCTAAAAAATGTAAATTATACTCTTTATATTTTTCTATAATTTTGCCGGTTGAAAGTACTCTCCACATTTTGAAACGTATAAATATATACACAATCACTTGTACTCACATGCTTAACTGGAAGCGTATCCAAATGATCGCATATCTAAAAAAAAAAAAACTTTAAATTACTAAAATATGTATATATATTTATACGTGAATAAATATGAATAGCCCTACTCTCGCAAGTCCGATCTATAATTCTAGACTTAAAATACTTTACTGGAACGCTCAGAGTTTAAGCACATTATTTCTTGAGATTAAAAATGCATCAAAAAATTTTGATATTATCACCATTGTCGAATCATGGTTAAATGCAGAACAAGAATGGAAAATTTCTGGATTTAACATATTCAGAAAAGATCGAGACTATGCGAGAGGACGAGGTATTGCCATTTTTATAAGACAAGGCCTAGCCTTTAAAGGATTTGATGTCCACTCTCCGCATTACTCTGTAGAAATTTGTGGTTTGTGTCTCAACAATGTACAACCTAACATCAGCCTCATAGTATGTTACAGGGCACCTGATTGTACATTGTCTCAAGTTGAATGGAGGGAAGTTGTGCAGAACGTTGACAACTCCAACTGTACCATACTACTGGGTGACTTTAATGCCCATAATTCTTCTTGGAATTGTCCAAGTACTGATGCCAACGGTATTCATCTAGAAAATGCATACAAAGCTAGAAACCTCTTTCTGCACAACTTCAACTCAACTACCTACATTGACGTTCGCAGAAATTACAAATCCAATCTCGATTTAATCTTTTCCTCCCACAACATCAGAGACCAGATTAACACTAAAGTCAATGACGAGACATGGGGTAGTGATCACTTCCCTGTCTTCATAGATATCTCCATTAATAAACAATTCTTTGAAAAAAAGTCATTTAAATTGCACTCCATGCGCACAGATTGGGACAGGGTTGATAATGAGCTAGAGGAAAAATATTTATATTTTCTCTCTTCTGATTACGAAATCTTAGCACCTCACCTGAAATTCAACTCATTTATCAAAATAATCTCGGATGTTGTAACCAGCTGTACTCCAAAAAGAATAACGAGTTTCAAGCGCAAATTTATTAACCCTGCTCCTTGGTGGGACAATGAATGTGACCGAGCTAAAAGACTCCAACGTGCTGCTTATAAAAAATATCAATTTTCACTTGAATTAGAGGATATCATGCCATATAAACAGCGGTGTGCTGAATTTAAAAGACTCCTTAGAAAAAAGGAAAAAAAAGATTTTATAAATTTTACAGAAAACCTGAATTTTAACACTGATCCATCTTACGTATGGAACAGGTGCAAAATCCTCAAAAACTGTTGGATAAATGTGAAACCTGCCCATGTTACAGAATATCTACAACCCAAAAACTTTAATTCGGCCCTAGACAAATTGTGCCCCCCTTGGGCTCAAACAGATCCAGAATACATACCAACATGCCTTCCTAATGAATTTTTTGACGCGAACTTTAGCTTCCTCGAGTTTAACGTAGCGTTAGATGGCAAGAGGTCTGACTCCGCCCCTGGTGTAGACGGAGTCAGCTTCGAAGTCATTAAGAGACTGCCGATTAAATTTAAGCTCATACTCCTGGATATTTACAATGAGATGTACTGCCAGGGCTTCTTTCCAGCATCCTGGAAAGACGTCTTCGTTTTATTCATCCCAAAACCAGATAAAAATGGCCTTAGACCAATTTCACTGACATCAGCATTTTGTAAACTCTTTGAAACCATCATCAAAAACCGTTTACAATGGTGGGCAGAAGTTCATGCTTGGATCCCAAACAGCCAACATGGCTTTCGTAAAGGCCACTCCTGTATCGACAACTTATTGAACTTTACACTATTCACTGAAAACGCATTCCAAGAGAACCAAAGCGTCCTGGCTGCCTTTTTGGATGTAGAGGGGGCCTTTGATCATATCAATATCGACATTCTGCTCCAAAAACTTGCTGACCTAGGATGCTCATACAAGATTATCAAGTTCATAAAGTTCATCACCCATGAAAGATTCATATTTTCTGATGACAAAAAACATAACTACAGAACCCTGCATAAAGGTGTCCCTCAAGGCGCAGTCCCTTGAGTCTCGGGCGCAGTGTTAAGCCCACTCCTTTACTCACTATACGTCGCTTCAGTAACCCAAAACTTACCTAATAATTTGTATGTATTACAGTTTGCAGATGATCTTGCAGTAGCAATAAAAACTGATCCTCATAGCTTTGATACCTCTATCATAGAAAACCCCATCCTGACTATAGATTTAAATCTTACAAACATTGGACTCAGCATCTGTCTACCTAAATCGAAATTCATGCATTTAAACAGAAAAAAAATTACCCCAGGCCAATCCAAAATCTGTATAAAAGGCCAACAGATAATTTCTAGTGATAACATCAAATTTCTGGGTATAATTTTTGATTACCAACTCTCTTTTAATGCTCACGTAAAATACGTCCATCAAAAATGCATGTAAAATATGAACATCATCAGGTTTCTCCGTGGCACCTGGTGGGGATCTCACCCAAGTACTCTCATGGGCCTTTACAAGAGCTTTATACGCTCTCGTATAGACTACGGCTGTTTCGTATACTACCCCAAGAACTCGGTCACAAAAAAAAAATTAGAAAAGATTCAATATGCCGCAATCAGATACGCCTTAGGATTTCGAAATAGCACTCCAACAAATATACTTCTCGCTGAGTCCAAGTCAGTATCAATTGAAGAGCGAACCAAATTCTTGTGTCTTTGTTTTCTTGTCAAAACCTTCAGCAATTTTAACTCTGAATCTTCCACTATAATTTCACAATTTTACAATATTCATAAAAACAATTCTAAAATAAACAGGCTATCTTTCGAATGCATTAATTCTCTTTTAAGCTCTAATATGGCACTTCACTCTAATCATAACTTCAACACCTACTGCTATGACTTCACTACAGTTTTCTCAACTCTCCCAATAGATACTGACTTTGGCGCGATATTAAAATCATCATCATCCCCCGACGAAACACTACTAAATTATATTAACGCAAACAACAGCATAGCTCTTTTCACCGATGGCAGCAAAGTAAAAGATGCTCCTAGTGTCGGCTCTGCTTGCTACTGCCCACTTACAAAATTCCAAAACGCTCAATGTCTAAACAAAATGTCTTCCATCTTTTCAGCAGAGTGCGCTGCAATAAATCAAGCCCTAGACTACATACTAGTTCATAAAAATAATAATTATATAATTTTTAGTGACTCTCTCAGTGCTATAAAAAGCTTGAACTCTATCAAAACAAAGATCTCAATAAATAAATTTATTCTCGATATTAAAAGTAAATGTTTACAATACATACATAATAACTCCAACAACCATATAAAATTAACTTGGATTCCATCCCACATGGGATTACAGGGAAATGAATATGTCGACTCTATTGCAAAAACTGCTACTACATCCACTGCTCCCTCTGAGCCCCAAATCTTATTTCCTGATCTATTCGAAAAATTTAAATCTGATTCTTATAATAACTCTTTTTTACAGACGAAAATTGATAGCACTCATAAAGGCAAAATTTATTTCTTACTATACAATAATGATAAAAAAATCCCATGGTTTCACAATAAGAGTCTGACACGCTCGGTCATAGTCACGATAAACAGAATGCGCTCAAATCACCACAGCTTAGCGGAATCTCTCTATCGGAAAAACTTAATTATCGATCCAAAATGTAAATGCGGATATGAGGAAGAGAGCCTTAATCACGTTTTATGGAATTGCGATCTATATAATGTACAACGAGCAAACCTATATAATGATCTTCAAAAAATAAATATGTATCCACCTTTCAATGTCGAAAGTTTAATAGCGTCTCCAAATATTCCAGCGTGTTTAAGTATTTGTAATTTTTTTAAGAAATGCGATCTCGCAGTATAATCACCATATCAATTAAATCACAATTACTCTGTAATGTATTTCTAAATTTGTAACAAAAAATGTAAAAATTATATTTTCAATAAAGTAAGTGTTAATACCTCTTACGGGGTCNTCGAAGGGAAAGACGCGCGACTGGTTTTAAACGACACACCCTACTTCCCCCCACCCCTTGTTCACGATGCTCGCAAAATTTTCTCGACCCCATGGCTTTTGATAGACGAGCCGGAAGTGTCCTTTTCTTTTGATCTACCGGTACACCTATATATATATATATATATATATATGCACAAAGAGCTGCTGGATCGAGCCGTGAGAGCGCAGCTGATTTAACCCCCTTCACCTGCAAGTCCCAATGTCAAGAGCAGATATTATAGGTTACTTGACACACGGTGCTAATTATTGCCCGAGAAAGATTTCCTTTTTTCTTCAATAAGTATGGGGTCATCGCCGGTGATTTTGGTCATTTGCGCAATCGGGTATGATTGGTTATTGTTTTTACGCGAATAAACATTGGGGGATAAAATATATAAGTAAAAAAAAAAGGGGGGGGGCGCTCACCTTTGCGACGAGCTGCTGTCCAGTATGCACGTCGACGCACTTGTACAGGGTACTGCCCTCGGCGGTGCCGAGCAGTAGGAAGCGATCCCCGAGTATCGTCGGGCCCTGGGCATCCTGTTGCGAGGCGGGATTGGGCTCGCAGCTCGCAAAAGCGACCGGGGCAGGAACGACGGCCCCCGGACTGGTCTTATCGTCACCATTGCCGCTGGCTGCTGTCGGAGACCGTTGCTGTTGTTGTTGTTGTTGTTGTTGTTGTTGTTGTTGTTGCAGCTGCAGTTGGCTGCCATGATGGTGGTGGTGATGGCGATGGTTGTTCCGGTGGTGGTGGTGGTGGTGGTGACTACCTCCACTCGTTTGGTAGGTGAACTGCTGCTGGTGGGGCTGGTGGAGGTGCGGATCGGGACTCGAGTTCGGACTGACGAGGAACTTGCCGTTCTGAGTGCGCGTCACCTGCAGGTGCATCGGTTGCTGCTGCTGCTGATGCCGGGATTCGAGTCTCATGGCGCACTAATTATACTCGCTTGACGGATCCTTTGCACTAATTTCACACTAACTTGGCTATACACGCGAGCTCGGCCACTTTCGAAACGCACTGAACTCTATATATATATTATTTCGATGTACGGGTCGAGCTCGGGCGGTATTATTTTTATTCTCGTTGTCCTATAGACACACTGGCGTCGCACGAACACTTTTCAAGTACTCGCTGTACATCGGGCACACGTGCATCATACTTCATGTATTGAAACATTAACAACTAACAACAACTAACAACAATAACAATAACAACAAAATTGACGAGGATAATGACGATCGCGAGTACAACGAGGTACTCAAATACCCAAGTACATCGCGCTATACTCCAATTGCCTGATGCTGTTGCACTGCTCCTATTCGATGGTATACCGTATAGGTATGTAATCAATCTACCTATGTTGTATAGGTGCAGGCATCACTAGCAATCAACATTTGTGACAATAATAATAATGTGTTCCGTTGCTGGTGCAAGCATTGTCTCACACCTCGTGAGTGTGTGTGGACGGAGAGAGATCGATTTTGATTGTGGTGCGCGGACGAAGGGTAATACTATTAGCTGCTGGTGCTGGTGTGCATGGCCTTCGTCAGTGGGTCCTGTAACAAAAAGCAAAAATGACGCGTTTTAGTCATCGGGTGAGGTAATTACGTTGATTCGTTTAAGGAATGTAAATATGTACATAGTTATAGGATTGTACAATGAAAACGCGTGTAACACACACGAGCACGCGTCCGAGGAAGGAGAGTCGCATTCCTTACCTCCGCGTGTATATATATATATTGTGTAAATACGTGCATATATTGTATAAAAGGAGGAGGAGGAGAGGCTGCAGCCCCGCAGAGGTCGCTGATCTCTTTTTATCTCTCCCTCTGTATAACATATTCCCTCGCGTGCGCGTCTTTGTGTTACAATATTATACCCATAGTTTTAGGTTTTACGTGCATTACAGGCACACTCGGGAGGAACTGTTTGGGACTCGACAACAGAAATATTGTTCGTAGCCCTGAATTTTTTTAAGACAAAAGGTGTTGCGTGCGAGAGATTACTGTACTGAACTGTGAAAAAAAACCCTATTCGGTAAATAGAAAAAATGAGCGCATTTTATTAGCACAAAACCGAGTTGGTCACTGTTTTTCAAAGTTATGACAATAATCGATAATAATAATGTATTACCGATCGGTGGGTCTGTAATACATTATGATATTACCTATATTAATCACAGCGTGAGTAAAGGCGCGTTTTTTCAATGCAACCGACTCGAATAATGGGCATTATTAATTATGAATCGAGACATTTGGAGCAACGACGACGTTATTATGCCCATCTTTGCCGTTGTCGTCATGCAATGTGCGTATACGAGTGTTAATGAAATACTATACGCGCAAAGCAAAGCGAAGCAAAGTGCGTTTCGCAACTTGTACGTATATACAATACAGGTGCGCGAAGGAGCCGTACGTACGATGCACGCGTAATGATTATACTCGCGAGAAGGAGGATATTATGTTATATACCGTATAGGTGATACGCGTGTAAAGGAACTGTCGCGTCGCACATATTATAAATGTATCTTTGGTGGATGACACTTTTTTTTTTTTATGCTCTCGCTTGAAATACACTATACGTATACAATTACGGAGAGGAAGCTTTTTTTTTTTTCTTTCCAATCGATCAAGTGTCGAGTTGTTTCGTTTATATTTTTTTTTCCATATCCCGCAACCAAGGTCTAGGACGGTCTCTGAATATTACCCGCACAAGCTGTTGCGACTGTGGAAAAAAAAAAAAATGCCCCAACACGTATACCCAATCAAGAGAATCGATCGGAGCATCTGCTTGTATAAAACTGAGATAAAAACTACGTGAATCGGTCGAGTGAATATTTCGTGCTTAATATCATAAGTAGCAGACTGGTGTCGTCTGAATCGGCAATAAGCATATACGCAGGTACACACACACACACACGCGCGCGGCTATACCATGAAGCTCTCGTCGCATTATTACAAAAGCCAGTGTGCGCGCCACCGCTGCTTTCGACATCCGTCCGCTCGAGAGTATTGTACATAGACATATATACAAGTACAGGGGAAGATAGAGTCTCCTACTCTTATGCAATAGGTATGTTTCTCTCTCCCCGGGTGATGATGGTAGGTTGCCGAGGCGCGAGGACTCTCTAAGGTCAGGGGTATACAGCAGTACATGTACACCATCAGCCGTTGCTGGAAGCTATATAACATTATATTGTGTATATATATATATACATCAGCTACAGCCGGTGTGCGCTTTTTCTTTTCCTCTCCGTCCCTGATGGATGTACAGGTGATGAGCTAGAAATGTTACGGGGGGGGGGGGTCAGATCGTATATTATATACACTGTGCATATGTACTTATATAATACAATGCGAAGTTGTAATTTGGTCAAAGGTCAAACGAGGTCGATCAACTTTTGCACGCGAGTATGTTTATATTGCACACATATTATATATACCTACCGAGTATGAAGATATATATATAGAGCGATACGTACGTATGGGATACGAGTTGCACGCGTTTCACGAGTTCCTGGCTAATTCAGCGACATTGCGGCCTCCGGGCATCCGGAGCGGGGCGTGCACCCTTTCCCCTGAGGGACGTTGGTCCTGTGAAAGAGCTCTAGAGTTTTTACTCTGAATTACTTGTGCTTGTGCCTCTTATCACGGGGACAAACACATTATAACCTAAAATGTCTACTACCGAAGAAAATTCTCAAATGTTTAGTTCAATCTTACAACGATCCCAATATCCCACCAGAGACCAAGCCATCGTAGTTGACTCAATTGATGGACACCCGATTAGAGATTACGCCCTCGCTATGGCTAGGGTCGTTAATCCAGCAAATGTTCTCAGATTTTATCGCAGTGCCCAAAACAGAATTTGTTTCTATCTAAACAACAAAATCCTCGCTTCTGAGTTGGTAGCAAAGGAAACTAAGATTACTATGGGCAACTCAATTCTACCACTGAGACCTTTAAACACTAAGTCTGTCAGAATAATCATCTCAAACGTCCAACTGTGCATTCCGAATTCAATCATCGAAAGAGAACTTCAAAAATTGAAAATAAAAACCGTTTCTAGTATACAACACGTCAAATCAGGACTAAATATACCAGGATTCACTCACTGGGTAAGCTTTAGAAGACAAGTGTATATCCATCCAGATTCAGAAAGTAGTATCCCGCCAAGTATTCAGATTGCATTCGAAGGTATTTCATACAATATCTACCTTTCATCTTCCAAAATGACTTGTGCCATCTGTTCCCATGAGGGCCACTTGGCTAAACACTGCACTGAAGGAATATCTCAAAATGATGATACAAGAACTCCAGCAACAACAACCTGTCAGAAGAAATAATGAGTACCTCTAATATCACTCCTTCTCAGTACACGCCAGGAACTCATTGCAATAACGAGGAGATACCTACTTTAAACGTTGCCTCAAACTCTAAAATAATAGGTAATCCAAACTTCACAGCTGTGTCCACTCCAAATTCTCTCAGCCTAACTCAAGATAAAATGTCACTCCAATTTGTTTCTCTGCCACTCAAACCTTCAAAAAGACCCCTAACGGTCTCTTTTTAATCAGATGAAAGTATACCCAAGCCACCAAGAAAAAAAAATACTGAGTTTACAACAGACAATGAATTCCCTGCTCCAAGCAATGCTCCAATAAAGCCAGGTATATCTGGGGTAGAAGAAATCTGCTCTCAACTCTTACCGGCCAAGGACTATATTGAGAAAAACCAAATCAGATACGGCTTGAACTTCACTGACATGACCAATCTCCTGCAAGAATTATATGGAAAACCTCGCTTCTCAACGAGAGATATTGCTCTCAAACATACTCAAGATCTTGACAAGCTAAGTATATACCTTGGTGAGGTAAGTCAACTCATCCAAAATCGAAATTTGAAGACTCGGATAAACAAATATGCAAAAAGACTTTGTTCAAATACTGTCTTTGAATCCGAAGACAATGCGAGTGATAGTTCTTACACGCTAGATGATAGCCCTTCTCTCAATGTATAGCCTGCTTGTATAGCCGGTTGTAATGCAAAACTTTGACGCTGATCATAACTCGTTAAATTGCTTAACATTATTTTTAACATGTGCGTGCAAGGATGAAATTGTGTACTCTAAAAAATGTAAATTATACTCTTTATATTTTTCTATAATTTTGCCGGTTGAAAGTACTCTCCACATTTTGAAACGTATAAATATATACACAATCACTTGTACTCACATGCTTAACTGGAAGCGTATCCAAATGATCGCATATCTAAAAAAAAAAAAACTTTAAATTACTAAAATATGTATATATATTTATACGTGAATAAATATGAATAGCCCTACTCTCGCAAGTCCGATCTATAATTCTAGACTTAAAATACTTTACTGGAACGCTCAGAGTTTAAGCACATTATTTCTTGAGATTAAAAATGCATCAAAAAATTTTGATATTATCACCATTGTCGAATCATGGTTAAATGCAGAACAAGAATGGAAAATTTCTGGATTTAACATATTCAGAAAAGATCGAGACTATGCGAGAGGACGAGGTATTGCCATTTTTATAAGACAAGGCCTAGCCTTTAAAGGATTTGATGTCCACTCTCCGCATTACTCTGTAGAAATTTGTGGTTTGTGTCTCAACAATGTACAACCTAACATCAGCCTCATAGTATGTTACAGGGCACCTGATTGTACATTGTCTCAAGTTGAATGGAGGGAAGTTGTGCAGAACGTTGACAACTCCAACTGTACCATACTACTGGGTGACTTTAATGCCCATAATTCTTCTTGGAATTGTCCAAGTACTGATGCCAACGGTATTCATCTAGAAAATGCATACAAAGCTAGAAACCTCTTTCTGCACAACTTCAACTCAACTACCTACATTGACGTTCGCAGAAATTACAAATCCAATCTCGATTTAATCTTTTCCTCCCACAACATCAGAGACCAGATTAACACTAAAGTCAATGACGAGACATGGGGTAGTGATCACTTCCCTGTCTTCATAGATATCTCCATTAATAAACAATTCTTTGAAAAAAAGTCATTTAAATTGCACTCCATGCGCACAGATTGGGACAGGGTTGATAATGAGCTAGAGGGAAAATATTTATATTTTCTCTCTTCTGATTACGAAATCTTAGCACCTCACCTCAAAATCAACTCATTTATCAAAATAATCTCGGATGTTGTAACCAGCTGTACTCCAAAAAGAATAACGAGTTTCAAGCGCAAATTTATTAACCCTGCTCCTTGGTGGGACAATGAATGTGACCGAGCTAAAAGACTCCAACGTGCTGCTTATAAAAAATATCAATTTTCACTTGAATTAGAGGATATCATGCCATATAAACAGCGGTGTGCTGAATTTAAAAGACTCCTTAGAAAAAAGGAAAAAAAAGATTTTATAAATTTTACAGAAAACCTGAATTTTAACACTGATCCATCTTACGTATGGAACAGGTGCAAAATCCTCAAAAACTGTTGGATAAATGTGAAACCTGCCCATGTTACAGAATATCTACAACCCAAAAACTTTAATTCGGCCCTA